GAACAAAAAAAATATATAAACACACCAGATACAGTAGCTACTAGACGGGGGGCCCAGAGCTGGAGCTCTCCCTACAGACACCACTAGGGAAGCACACACACACACACACAGGCCGGAACACCTACCCGTCGCGGGTTGGATGACTTCTCCAGAGAGTGAGCCGAGTACAATAGCAGTGAAAGGAAGAATTACGAGACCATCTTCTGAGACTCGTCAAAATGAAGGCTGTGTGACCTGCCTCGGTCTCTATGGCGCGACAAAATAACTGCAGGAGTCCTGCCTCTCCGACGCATCAACGGAAGCCACATATGTGGCCAGCAGCCGGAAGACGACACGCGGTATTCCAATATGCAAGAAGGGAGCAGACACGACTCTCAACTATAGACCAGCGTCCCTAACCTGCATACCATGCAAAATAGTAGAGAGAAGAATAAGGGAAATAAGGAACAAACACCTAGAGAGGATAAACTTCACAAGGAAGCATCAACCCGGGCTCAGAGAAGGGAAGTCATGCCTAACAAACCTATTGGCGAGAAATCCAACTGGTAAATCTTATACAATCGGGATTTCACTGAAACTTCTGGAGACTTCTACTGAAGCCAGTCCAAGTTATTACGTATAACCTCCAAGCACTCGGATGCCAGTAAAGTTGCTCATTCATTCACAGACTTCAAGCGCTTTCAGTGGAATCCCGGATGTATAACTTTAGCAAGTCAGGGTGGTACGGTGGTAAGGTGAGCGGCTGAGAGAGAAGGGAGGGAATTATCATGGGAATGCTAAAAGCCATTAGGACTATCTAACACTGGGAAGGGGTCAGGATAAGAATTTGGGATGGGACAGGGGAAAGGAATGGCGCCTAACCACTTGGACGGTCGGGGATTGAACGCCGACCTGCATGAAGCTCTACCGTCGCTCTACCGTCCAGGCCAAGTGGCTGGCGAGCGGCTGTGAGTATGTTGGTCACCTGTTCGAGTCAGCTCAGAGCTCCAGATGATTTTCTCATTCATATATATGTTAAATTAATGTGATTTTGTTTAGAAAGGTTTGGTATTTCCATGGTGGAACGAGGGGTCAGACCACCATAGTAGAGGTGGTCTGGTGGACCAACAGCCTGGTGGACCAAACTCTCACAAGTCGAGTCTGGCCTCGGGCCGGGCTCGGGGAAGTAGAAGAACTCCCAGAACCCCATCAACCAGGTAACCAGGTATCTACCAGGGTGGCACTGAACTGTTCCACATTAGAGAAACCCAGATTGTGAGGCAACAACCCTGCTGTGTATGGTACATAACCGACCAGTGCTGGAGTACAACCCTGCTGTGTATGGTACATAACCGACCAGTGCTGGAGTACAACCCTACTGTGTATGGTACATAACCGACCAGTGCTGGAGTACAACCCTGCTGTGTATGGTACATAACCGACCAGTGCTGGAGTACAACCCTGCTGTGTATGGTACATAACCGACCAGTGCTGGAGTACAACCCTGCTGTGTATGGTACATAACCGACCAGTGCTGGAGTACGCTGCACTAGTCTCAACCCCTGTGGTCCTGGGTTCGATCCCAGGCGCCGGCGAGAAACAATGGGCAGAGTTTCTTTCACCCTATGCCCCTGTTACCTAGCAGTAAAATAGGTACCTGGGTATTAGTCAGCTGTCACGGGCTGCTTCCTGGGGGTGGAGGCCTGGTCGAGGACCGGGCCGCGGGGACACTAAAGCCCCGAAATCATCTCAAGATAACCTCAAGATAACCCCCACTACAAAAAAGTGTAAAACTAATATAGAGAATGTATTACATTCTATAATACATTGAATGTATTACATGTTTGTTACACGACTTACCCCAGAATAGATACAACTGAGCTACAAGGAGAGACAGAAGGAAGAGGAACATGAACTAAACGATGACCAAACCACAACTCTGTTATCTTGAGGTTATCTTGAGATGATTTCGGGACTTTAGTGTCCCCGCGGCCCGGTCCTCGACCAGGCCTCCACCCCCAGGAAGCAGCCCGTGACAGCTGACTAACACCCAGGTACCTATTTTACTGCTAGGTAACAGGGGCATAGGGTGAAACAAACTCTGCCCATTGTTTCTCGCCGGCGCCTGGGATTGAACCCAGGACCACAGGATCACAAATCCAGCGTGCTGTCCGCTCGGCCGACCGGCTCCCTTTTCTGTGGGTGGAAAAGTGACCACGTTTCGGTCCGTCGTGGACCATTATCAAGTTGTGTGGACCTGATGACGGTCCAGCATCCTGGACCACGTTTCGGTCCAGGACGGCCCGAAACGTGGTCGCTGCTCCATCTTCAGGTGTGGGGTGTGGTGATCATGTCTTCAGCCCCGTTATTGTGACTCATCCCGTGACATGTACTATTGTGACATGTACCCGTTATTTGGTGTTGAATGTCATGGTGTTGAATGACATTCAACACCAAATACTCTGGGTAATAGTGAAACAGAAAAGAGACAGTATGGGTGAACGTAAGCAGCAAGCTAAGTAGAGGCTACGAACCTGGGGCCAGATTCACAAAGCAGTTATGCAAGTACTTACGAACGTGTACATCTTTCCTCAGTCTTTGACGGCTTTAGTTACATTTATTAAACAGTTTACAAGCATGAAAACTTGCCAATCAACTGTTGTTATTGTTATAAACAGCCTCCTGGTGCTTCGGAGCTCATTAACTGTTTAATAATTGTAAACAAAGCCGCCAAAGATTGAGAAAAGATGTACAGGTTCGTAAGTGATGGCGTAACTTCTTCGTGAATCTAGCCCCTGAAGGCAGACACGAAGCTGAGCCACCAAGACCTGAAGAAACGTCTTGGTAAAGGCAAGTAGCAACTAGAACGAACTAGACGGCCAAATAGTCGAGGTTTCCTCTTCATAGTTTTAAAAACAAAAGCAACACAAATGAGAAGGGGCTTGAGTCACTGCTAGATGCTAGATAACAACTGTTACAAGCACAGTGACATCATAGTAACGTGAGACAGTGACATCATAGTAACGTGACGTATCTTAGAGAGAATATGTTGAGCAGCGCGGGTACTGAACCAGTGTTATGGGGTCACCCAGGACGCTGGGGTCACCCAGGACGCTGGGGTCACCCAGGACGCTGGGGTCACCCAGGACGCTGCCACCTGCTGACCCAGTGCCTCCACGGGGGCTATGACAGGCAGCCTCCACGGGGTGGCAATGACAGGCAGCCTCCACGGGGGACTATGACAGGCAGCCTCCACGGGGGACTATGACAGGTAGCCTCCACGGAGGGCTATGACAGGTAGCCTCCACGGGGGGCTATGACAGGCAGCCTCCACGGGGGCTATGACAGGTAGCCTCCACGGAGGGCTATGACAGGTAGCCTCCACGGGGGGCTATGACAGGCAGCCTCCACGGGGGACTATGACAGGCAGCCTCCACGGGGGACTATGACAGGCAGCCTCCACGGGGGCTATGACAGGCAGCCTCCACGGGGGACTATGACAGGCAGCCTCCACGGGGGACTATGACAGGCAGCCTCCACGGGGGACTATGACAGGCAGCCTCCACGGGGGCTATGACAGGTAGCCTCCACGGGGAATTATGACAGGCAGCCTCCACGGGGGACTATGACAGGCAGCCTCCACGGGGGGCTATGACAGGCAGCCTCCACGGGGGACTATGACAGGCAGCCTCCACGGGGGGCTATGACAGGCAGCCTCCACGGGGGGCTATGACAGGCAGCCTCCACGGGGGCTATGACAGGCAGCCTCCACGGGGGACTATGACAGGCAGCCTCCACGGGGGCTATGACAGGCAGCCTCCACGGGGGACTATGACAGGCAGCCTCCACGGGGGACTATGACAGGCAGCCTCCACGGGGGACTATGACAGGCAGCCTCCACGGGGGACTATGACAGGCAGCCTCCACGGGGGGCTATGACAGGCAGCCTCCACGGGGGACTATGACAGGCAGCCTCCACGGGGGGCTATGACAGGCAGCCTCCACGGGGGACTATGACAGGCAGCCTCCACGGGGGCTATGACAGGCAGCCTCCACGGGGGGCTATGACAGGCAGCCTCCACGGGGGGCTATGACAGGCAGCCTCCACGGGGGACTATGACAGGCAGCCTCCACGGGGGACTATGACAGGCAGCCTCCACGGGGGACTATGACAGGCAGCCTCCACGGGGGACTATGACAGGCAGCCTCCACGGGGGACTATGACAGGCAGCCTCCACGGGGGACTATGACAGGCAGCCTCCACGGGGGCTATGACAGGCAGCCTCCACGGGGGGCTATGACAGGCAGCCTCCACGGGGGACTATGACAGGCAGCCTCCACGGGGGACTATGACAGGCAGCCTCCACGGGGGACTATGACAGGCAGCCTCCACGGGGGGCTATGACAGGCAGCCTCCACGGGGGGCTATGACAGGCAGCCTCCACGGGGGACTATGACAGGCAGCCTCCACGGGGGACTATGACAGGCAGCCTCCACGGGGGGCTATGACAGGCAGCCTCCACGGGGGACTATGACAGGCAGCCTCCACGGGGGGCTATGACAGGCAGCCTCCACGGGGGGCTATGACAGGCAGCCTCCACGGGGGCTATGACAGGCAGCCTCCACGGGGGACTATGACAGGCAGCCTCCACGGGGGACTATGACAGGCAGCCTCCACGGGGGACTATGACAGGCAGCCTCCACGGGGGGCTATGCCAGGCAGCCTCCACGGGGGGCTATGACAGGCAGCCTCCACGGGGGCTATGACAGGCAGCCTCCACGGGGGGCTATGACAGGCAGCCTCCACGGGGGACTATGACAGGCAGCCTCCACGGGGGGCTATGACAGGCAGCCTCCACGGGGGACTATGACAGGTAGCCTCCACGGGGGGCTATGACAGGCAGCCTCCACGGGGGGCAATGACAGGCAGCCTCCACGGGGGCTATGACAGGAACACACAATGACAAAACAGTTTCAGAAACAACGTTAGCAATTATGTTCTTGGAAGAATTCATTACAGGTCAAATGTGAGGAGACCAGTGGAGCCGGCTGCGGCACTGACCCGAGGCCGGCTGCGGCACTGACCCGAGGCCGGCTGCGGCACTGACCCGAGGCCGGCTGCGGCACTGACCCGAGGCCGGCTGCGGCACTGACCCGAGGCCGGCTGCGGCACTGACCCGAGGCCGGCTGCGGCACTGACCCGAGGCCGGCTGCGGCACTGAGCCGAGGCCGGCTGCGGCACTGACCCGAGGCCGGCTGCGGCACTGACCCGAGGCCGGCTGCGGCACTGACCCGAGGCCGGCTGCGGCACTGACCCGAGGCCGGCTGCGGCACTGACCCGAGGCCGGCTGCGGCACTGACCCGAGGCCGGCTGCGGCACTGACCCGAGGCCGGCTGCGGCACTGACCCGAGGCCGGCTGCGGCACTGACCCGAGGCCGGCTGCGGCACTGACCCGAGGCCGGCTGCGGCACTGACCCGAGGCCGGCTGCGGCACTGACCCGAGGCCGGCTGCGGCACTGACCCGAGGCCGGCTGCGGCACTGACCCGAGGCCGGCTGCGGCACTGACCCGAGGCCGGCTGCGGCACTGACCCGAGGCCGGCTGCGGCACTGACCCGAGGCCGGCTGCGGCACTGACCCGAGGCCGGCTGCGGCACTGACCCGAGGCCGGCTGCGGCACTGACCCGAGGCCGGCTGCGGCACTGACCCGAGGCCGGCTGCGGCACTGACCCGAGGCCGGCTGCGGCACTGACCCGAGGCCGGCTGCACTGACCCGAGGCCGGCTGCGGCACTGACCCGAGGCCGGCTGCGGCACTGACCCGAGGCCGGCTGCGGCACTGACCCGAGGCCGGCTGCGGCACTGACCCGAGGCCGGCTGCGGCACTGACCCGAGGCCGGCTGCGGCACTGACCCGAGGCCGGCTGCGGCACTGACCCGAGGCCGGCTGCGGCACTGACCCGAGGCCGGCTGCGGCACTGACCCGAGGCCGGCTGCGGCACTGACCCGAGGCCGGCTGCGGCACTGACCCGAGGCCGGCTGCGGCACTGACCCGAGGCCGGCTGACCCGGCACTGACCCGAGGCCGGCTGCGGCACTGACCCGAGGCCGGCTGCGGCACTGACCCGAGGCCGGCTGGGCACTGACCCGAGGCCGGCTGCGGCACTGACCCGAGGCCGGCTGCGGCACTGACCCGAGGCCGGTTGCGGCACTGACCCGAGGCCGGCTGCGGCACTGACCCGAGGCCGGCTGCGGCACTGACCCGAGGCCGGCTGCGGCACTGACCCGAGGCCGGCTGCGGCACTGACCCGAGGCCGGCTGCGGCACTGACCCGAGGCCGGCTGCGGCACTGACCCGAGGCCGGCTGCGGCACTGACCCGAGGCCGGCTGCGGCACTGACCCGAGGCCGGCTGCGGCACTGACCCGAGGCCGGCTGCGGCACTGACCCGAGGCCGGCTGCGGCACTGACCTGAGGCCGGCTGCGGCACTGACCCGAGGCCGGCTGCGGCACTGACCCGAGGCCGGCTGCGGCACTGACCCGAGGCCGGCTGCGGCACTGACCCGAGGCCGGCTGCGGCACTGACCCGAGGCCGGCTGCGGCACTGACCCGAGGCCGGCTGCGGCACTGACCCGAGGCCGGCTGCGGCACTGACCCGAGGCCGGCTGCGGCACTGACCCGAGGCCGGCTGCGGCACTGACCCGAGGCCGGCTGGGTTATTAAGGAGGTCACCAACACCATAAAATAAACCATTGAAGCCAATCATAAAGCTAAATAAGTGATCATTAATGTGAGCCAAGTGTGTAAGAGGAGCGGCAGCTGAGGGAAGTAAGAGGAGCGGCAGCTGAGGGAAGTAAGAGGAGCGGCAGCTGAGGGAAGTAAGAGGGGCAGCTGAGGGAAGTAAGAGGGGCAGCTGAGGGAAGTAAGAGGAGCCCCGGGAAGACCTCGCTCAGCCCAACCTTCCCCTGCCCCTCACGACGGTAACTGTAAGCCTTACACAAAAGAGGGAAGGTTCTAGAAAGAACAGCTAAAATTGGGGCACATCCGGTATGTGATGAGGATAGGAAGTAAGGGAGAGGACGCCGACACACCAGGTGCACCAGGTGAGGGGACACTAAGGACCACTTACTACACCAGGTGCACCAGGTGAGGGGACACTAAGGACCACTTACTACACCAGGTGAGGGGACACTAAGGACCACTTACTACACCAGGTGCATCAGGTGAGGGGACACTAAGGACCACTTACTACACCAGGTGCACCAGGTGAGGGGACACTAAGGACCACTTACTACACCAGGTGCACCAGGTGAGGGGACACTAAGGACCACTTACTACACCAGGTGCATCAGGTGAGGGGACACTAAGGACCACTTACTACACCAGGTGCACCAGGTGAGGGAACACTAAGGACCACTTACTACACCAGGTGCACCAGGTGAGGGGACACTAAGGACCACTTACTACACCAGGTGCACCAGGTGAGGGGACACTAAGGACCACTTACTACACCAGGTGCACCAGGTGAGGGGACACTAAGGACCACTTACTACACCAGGTGCATCAGGTGAGGGGACACTAGGGACCACTTACTACACCAGGTGCATCAGGTGAGGGGACACTAAGGACCACTTACTACACCAGGTGCACCAGGTGAGGGGACACTAGGGACCACTTACTACACCAGGTGCACCAGGTGAGGGGACACTAAGGACCACTTACTACACCAGGTGCACCAGGTGAGGGAACACTAAGGACCACTTACTACACCAGGTGCATCAGGTGAGGGGACACTAAGGACCACTTACTACACCAGGTGCACCAGGTGAGGGAACACTAAGGACCACTTACTACACCAGGTGCATCAGGTGAGGGGACACTAGGGACCACTTACTACACCAGGTGCACCAGGTGAGGGGACACTAAGGACCACTTACTACACCAGGTGCACCAGGTGAGGGGACACTAGGGACCACTTACTACACAAACACACAAGCCCGGATATGCTTGAACGAAACAAAAGGTGAAGAAAATATGGATGCAGGTAAAGCAATTATTTGTTATGAACACTGATAAGATACAGTGAAGAGGGAGTGTTGGAGAGGTTGAGAGTGAAGGAGGGAGTGTGTGGGGAAGGGAGGTAGAGTGAGGGAGAGTGTGGCAGAGTGAGAGTGTGGTAGAGTGAGGGAGAGTGACCCACCTTGCTACAGTCAACACAGACGAGGGTGGAGGTCCTCAGCAGAGAGAGGCCCTCGCCACACAGGATACAGTTGTTGTTGCCGTTCCCTTGGATGCGGTTCTTCATGGCTTCCACCCGGTCCACCAGACGCCTGAGGGAGAGTTACTGGTCACACACGGTACGCCCACACACAAACATACATACATTATATATTATATATATATATATATATATATATATATATATATATATATATATATATATATATATATATATATATATATATATATGTCGTACCTAGTAGCCAGAACACACTTCTCAACCTACTATGCAAGGCCCGATTTGCCTAATAAGCCAAGTTTTCATGAATTAATTGTTTTTCGACTACCTAACCTACCTAACCTAACCTAACCTAACTTTTTCGGCTACCTAACCTAACCTAACCTATAAAGATAGGTTAGGTAGGGTTGGTTAGGTTCGGTCATATATCTACATTAATTTTTATTCCAATAAAAAAAAATTGACCTCATATATAATGAAATGGGTAGCTTTATCATTTCATAAGAAAAAAATTAGAGAAAATATATTATTCAGGAAAACTTGGCTTATTAGGCAAATCGGGCCTTGCATAGTAGGCTGAGAAGTGCGTTCTGGCTACTAGGTACGACATATATATATATATATATATATATATATATATATATTATCAGGTTATTATTATTATTATTATCATAGATTTTATTGACTAAAATTGTACAAATGTTTACTAAAATAAGAGTTTGCGTAATTTTATGGCTCACAGTGAGGAGAATAAACACGCCTCAATAAAAAATCAAAGAAATTAAAATATACTTGTAGCCAGCAAGAAAGGTCGGACAAAAATATATTCATTCCGCACCTTTCTGTTAAAGTCCATAATAAACATAATTGAGAATTCCTAAAGAAAAAAAGAAGATTGCTTGGCATATAGGACGACGTCACTCTGGCCTGGCGTCGTACGGGACGCAGGGCGCCCGGACGACGTCACTCTGGCCCGGCGTCGTACGGGACGCAGGGCCCCAGGACGACGTCACTCTGGCCCGGCGTCGTACGGGACGCAGGGCGCCCGGACGACGTCACTCTGGCCCGGCGTCGTACGGGACGCAGGGCGCCAGGACGACGTCACTCTGGCCCGGCGTCGTACGGGACGCAGGGCGCCCGGACGACGTCACTCTGGCCCGGCGTCGTACGGGACGCAGGGCGCCCGGACAACGTCACTCTGGCCCGGCGTCGTACGGGACGCAGGGCGCCTGGACGACGTCACTCTGGCCCGGCGTCGTACGGGACGCAGGGCGCCCGGACGACGTCACTCTGTATCCTGTGTCTGGCCTCCTGTTTTCATCGCCGAGTTTCATTACTTTGCATTTACAAAGTTGAACTTCAACAGCCATTTGTTGGACCATTCACTCAGTTTGTCTAAATCATCTTGTAGCCTCCTACTATCATCTTCTGTTCCAATCCTCCTCATAATTTTTGCATCATCGGCAAACATTGAGAGAAACGAGTCTATACCCTCTCGGAGATCATTTACATATATCAGTAACAGTATTGGTCCAAGGACTGAACCCTGCGGGACTCCACTGGTGACGCCTCGCCAATCTGAGACCTCACCCCTCACAGTGACTCGCTGTCTTCTGTTACTTAGGTACTCCCTTATCCAAAGGAGTACCTTCCCTTTCACTCCAGCCTGCATCTCCAGCTTTTTCAGTAGCCTCTTGTGTCGTACTGTGTCAAAGGCTTTCTGGCAATCCAAAAATATGCAGTCTGCCCACCCCCTCTTTCTAGCCAGGTGTGTGTGTGTGTGTATTCACCTAGTTGTTCATGCGGGGGTTGAGCTCCGCTCTTTCGGCCCGCCTCTCAACTGTAACTAACTACTAACTAATCCCCCCCCCCACCCCCCAAACACACACACACACACCAGGAAGCAGCTCCGTAACAGCTGTCTAACTCCCAGGTACCTATTTACTGCTAGGTAACAGGGGCATTAAGGATGAAAGAAACTTTGCCCATTTGTTTCAGCCTGGTTCGGGAATCGAACCCGGGCCACAGATTTACGAGTCCTGTATTTACCTAGTTGTGTTTGCAGGGGTTGAGCTCTGCTCTTTCGGGCCGCCTCTCAACTGTCAATCAACTGTTCTAACTACTACAACTATTTTTTTCCTCCCACACACCACACACACACCAGGAAGCAGCCCGTGACAGCTGACTAATTCCCAAGTACCTATTTACTGCTAGGTAACAGGCGCATTAGGGTGAAAGAAACTCTGCCCATTGTTTCTCGCCGGCGCCGGGAATCGAACCCGGGACCACAGGATCACGCGCCCAGCGTACTGACCTGTCAGCCACCGGCCCCCTGTGTGTGTGTGTGTGTGTGTGTGTGTGTGTGTGTGTGTGTGTGTGTGTGTGTGTGTGTGTGTGTGTGTGTGTGCGTGCGTGTGTGCGGGCGCGTGTGCACGTTAGTGTCACCACACTAACAGGACACACTATCAGCCACCGGAACTGGCGTGATATTGCCTCTCTCACCAACACAAACCCCACCACATGCCAGCCCACAATTACTATATATTTTGTTTTATCCCACCAGCTGTCTTCACCCACCAGCTGTCTTCACCCACCAGCTGCCTTCACCCACCAGCTGTCTTCACCCACCAGCTGCCTTCACCCACCAGCTGTCTTCACCCACCAGCTGTCTTCACCCACCAGCTGTCTTCACCCACCAGCTGTCTTCACCCACCAGCTGCCTTCACCCACCAGCTGTCTTCACCCACCAGCTGTCTTCACCCACCAGCTGTCTTCACCCACCAGCTGTCTTCACCCACCAGCTGTCTTCACCCACCAGCTGTCTTCACCCACCAGCTGTCTTCACCCACCAGCTGCCTTCACCCACCAGCTGTCTTCACCCACCAGCTGTCTTCACCCACCAGCTGTCTTCACCCACCAGCTGTCTTCACCCACCAGCTGTCTTCACCCACCAGCTGCCTTCACCCACCAGCTGTCTTCACCCACCAGCTGCCTTCACCCACCAGCTGCCTTCACCCACCAGCTGCCTTCACCCACCAGCTGTCTTCACCCACCAGCTGCCTTCACCCACCAGCTGTCTTCACCCACCAGCTGTCTTCACCCACCAGCTGCCTTCACCCACCAGCTGCCTTCACCCACCAGCTGCCTTCACCCACCAGCTGCCTTCACCCACCAGCTGTCTTCACCCACCAGCTGCCTTCACCCACCAGCTGCCTTCACCCACCAGCTGTCTTCACCCAGCCGCTACATTCAATAGTATTAACTTCAGTAATATAGACTAGTATGGCGGTGTAGAGGGAGAGCGTTGCCTCAGTTACTGCGGGTGAAGGAGCAGGCAACACTGACCAACACTGAGCAACACTGAGCAACACTGACCAACACTGAGCAACACTGAGCAACACTGAGCAACACTGAGCAACACTGAGCAACACTGAGCAACACTGAGCAACACTGAGCAACACTGAGCAACACTGAGCAACACTGAGCAACACTGAGCAACACTGAGCAACACTGA